TTAAGTATTAAGCACAGACATTCTCATTCTTTATGAGATCACATGCAGCTAATTCCATTCGCATTAGAGAAGGATTCTCCCAATAGCAACCGTGACAAAAAGACACATTACACGAGTTTCTAAGTTTTGTTTTTTATTAAATGACTACTTTTGGTCTTTAAAACGACTTGAAGCCATTAACCAATCTAGGTGATAAGTATGACGGTTTATTTATTTTATATTTTTGAATTATCGTCAAACGGAGGAAATATTTCCCTCGAAATACGGTCTATCGTTTTAATTGCTGCATTACCCAAAGATATACAATCTTCTTTGGTGTTGGAATTGAATCCGCAAACTGTGTCGAGTGCTACACCTGAAGCTCCAACGAACATAAGAATTCACTATAAGAATAGAAATCAGAAGAAAAATGGTCATGAATAAAACTTACAGAACCGATTCTGTGTTGCGTATCCTGGCATGTCTGACAGTTGCTGGAGATCAGAGATCTGAAAACACATCAAATTTTCCATTGAAAAGCTGTTACTTACATATTTTGGTGCAAGTGAACGACTGGTACAGGACAGCTAATAAGTAGTATCATAGCAATTTTTTGAAACATAGGCAGCATCGACACTGAACGAAAAACAATCATTATTAACGGTAAAAAAAATTCTTGATGTTAAAAAAAACAGATTATTACAACAACTTTAAAATCTTACATTTATAGCAATATCTAGTGATTTCTTGCAATTAGAACAGTTTCTTTCCTCGATGCCGAAAGTATGTTGTGAAAAAATTGTTGATTAATAGCTGTCTCACTCGATATGACTCATTTTAAAAACATGGGTACATATTGATGAATATGTATGTCGTCATTTACAGGAAATAGTTCCCTCGAATATGGTCTAACGTTTGAATAGTTGCTTTACCAAGAGATAAACAATCTTCTCTCATGTTAGAATTGAACTCGCACAGTGTGTCAAGTGGTACACGTGAAGCTCCAAGAAACATTTGAGTATTTTAAAAAAAAAGAAATCAGAAAAAGAGTCGTCATGAAAAAAACTTACAGAACCGATATTGTTCGCTAACGCTCGCAAGTCCCAGAATATCTATCATTACAATAGATATCCAAAGAAATGGAGTAGATTCCAAGTACGTGTAGCGGTTAACGCGAGCGCACGGAATAGGATCTAACACCAAACTACTACACCATGAGTGCATGCATGATCGCCGTCAAATGATCATTTATCAATGATGAGATACATATAGTAGCTAAAACAACATAGATCACGAAAGGGGAATATGGCAAAACCTCTGGCGGCAACCGGAGTCGAACCCGAGGATAGCCGCAATGCCC